AAAACACATACAAATGAATAAACTATATAGAGATATGTGTAAATGGGTCACAGTAACTTTGTATTTATTCTTATTGGCCCAGGTGAAAATTTAGGTATTACCAGAGTTATACTCAGGTGAAAAGCTTTGGCTGGCTTATTTTAAAACTGTATAAAATATAATGACAAGTACATGTGTATCAGATCAGACAGCTCCACTTAAAATATCTCTGTTATATTTAGCAATTATAATAGTAATCTATTAGCATATTAGTTCTATCAGACTTTGTAGTAGTTATCTTTTACTGGATGTGATGAATATGATTTTCTTCCCCACTCTGAATTTTTAAAAAAATTTACTCAGAATTCATATTGCTTATATAATTAACATATTGTAAACTATATCATATTTAATGAGTTATTAGAAATTAGGGGTTCAATAGTAAATCAAAATATGTAATAACAATCCTGTAGGCATCTGAGAAACATTATATTGCAGTTGCTGGCTAAAATGAGCAGAAAACTGCATGGTAACAGATAGCTGGCTAAGGCCTAGGTTTCCCCCTTTAGCAGGTGTTTTTTATTCTAGAATACTATAAATACTTCTCTTTTAAGAAATTTAACTTTCTCTGATCAGTATAAATCATGTATACTGCCTCAAGCATTACATCATGAAGGTATTTAACTCAACTATTTTATTCAAAGTATGTGTGAACTTGGATGTAGAATTTGACTAGTTGATATTTAATGAGTATGTTAGTCAGGATTCTCCAGAAAAACAAAACAAATAGAATAAACATATATAAACAAGAAAGATTTGACAAGTCCAACTGCTTAAGAACTAGAGAGTGTACTGGTGTTTGTCCTGGAGCCAAAGAGCCAGGAGCTCTGTCTGAGAGGAGGAAAAGATGATGTTCTGGCTCAAGAAGAAAGACATAAATTTCCCTTCCTTTGTCTTTTGTCCGAGGCCTCGATGTATTGATAATGCCCTGATACCCACAATGGGAAGGAAAGATCTTTACAGAATCTATTTATTCATATGGGATTCTTTTCCAGAACACCTCACAGACACATTCAGAAACAATATTTACCACCAATCTAGGCCAGGCAAGTTGACACATAAAATTAACCATTAGAAGAATGTAATAGATTTAGGGTTTTGATGTCTCTAATGAAATTGTTATCATCATTTCTCTCTCCCTGGTTTTTGGACAGATCATCACAACAGCCTTGATCACCATCTGACTGGTTTTTCTGACAACAGAGTCAATGCAATGCATTCTTTATGTTAGTAAAATTGCAACTACAAGATAATATATGTCTCCAGATATTTTTCTGTCATAGTTTGATATATGATTTTAATAGATAACCTTTTTGCTTGGAGATTATCAAATTGAAATCCTATTACTATGGTAGATACTTATCTAAATAGAAAGGATCTTTGTGATAAGTTTATGTTTACATTGATAGTGCCATTTAAATGATGTACTGAATCCAAGGAAAACAGTATGATAATGATGCTCAAAATGAATCCTACTATTTTGCTAGTCAAATATCCCAACTCACATTGACACAATGCATACTTTCCAAAACTACATTGCAGCAACATTTTCTATTTACATTTCCTATGTACTGTTTTGTTTATCCACTACATGAAAGAAAATACAAAAACTCTTGAAAAATAAAATGGCATTTTTTTTAAGGTTACATATTGTGTCTATTTATTTTAATATAACGATAGTATAATTTACATAATGGACTTTAACTTGAGTCTTCAAAAAGTATCATGACTATAAGCAAATTGATAGAAAAGTGGATAACAATGAATTAAGGGTTACTGGCAGTTTAAGACATTGTTTATCTCTTTTGAGGTAGACAAAATTCAAATTGCCTTCATTAGCTGAGCAATATGCTGTGGAAAATGAGCTGAGTACTTATGAAGAGGCTCTTTCATTTGCATGTTGCTAAATTATCAAGCTGCTCTGTTTTCTAGGTGCTTAAGAGCAGTGAATTTGAGAAAAAGAAAAAAATTTCAGGTAAGCAAGCCACAGGGCATTTAAGCACTTGATTAAAAAAAAAAAAAAAGGAAACATTTATCAATGAAGATGTCAGAATTGTGCCTTGTAATACAAAAAGACAATTTTATATACAGTTAGAATTTAGGATGTACAAACGCATTAATTCTCCCCACCACTCCCCAGTACCACAAGCAAAGCTAGAGGCTGTTCTTTTGATAAAAGATCAATACTTCAGCATGACACTGCCCTAGCTGCCCTGCTGTTGCTAGTTAAAAGTTTGAATTTCAATTAAGCAGTAAATCTTTATGGTATTACATCTTGAACAGCCAGTTAACATATCCTTAATCCCTGCAATTCTGAAACACTATTATTTTTCTGAATTATTTCCTTTAAGCTAACTCAAAAGGAAAACTATTATTTGAGTAAAGAAATATTTTCCTCCAAATGAAACACTAAATATTACATGATTGTTTGTGGTTTTTAATAGTATGCCTACATGCAAAAAAAAAAAAATTATATTCCCCCAGAGTAAATTAAGAGTCATTCAAATGTATTAACACAAGATCTGAATCAAAACTCCACTGACTTGGTTATATACTCATATGATCTATTCCTTAATACTTTTCTACATATATGCCTTGGAAAATTTCTTAAACACAAAATACATATGCATTTACAATGATCACACTCAAATCACATTTTCATTTTCTATGTCGTCAAATGCCCCATAGACTTTTTCTTGAAACATTTATTTTCAAAAAGTATTGGTCATTGCCTTAAAAAACAGCTAATAGAAAAAGATACAGCTAAAGGAAATGTGTGGCTTTCTTGAGTATTTCAATATTTTAAGGCAAAATTCAGGTCGTTTGCTAGCCACCATCCCTTTCACATGGGATTTCAAAATAATTTTTTAAAGTGATGAGCCCACAAAGTCAAATTAACAAACCTTCAGGGCCTCCCCTGGTGGCGCAGTTGTTGAGCGCTGGGCTGCGAAGCTGCCTGCAGCTCTGCAGCGCTGGTTCGATCCCCGGCTGCTGGCAAGGGTCCCACATGGCTAGACAGACCTCTTCTGTCTGGCCCGCTGCTCCCCTCAGCAGTGTATTTCGTCAGTCTGCCTGTTCTGTTCCCGCTCTGGCTCTGGTGAATCCTCTCACCCTCCCGCGCTTCTGACTGAACCCAGTGCTTGTATAAATAAATAAATAAATAAATAAATAAATTTAAAAAGAAACAAAAAACAAAACAAAACAAATCTTCAAAGCTACAGATAAAGTAGTGTTGACACTTAGATCTATTATTGGGATAAAATATAACTTTCTCTGTTCAAAATTTTAGAAGGAAATGTTTCCCAGAAATCTAGTGCAGTTTTGGCTATGTTAGCAAAATTCTACCATTAAAAGTGCCACTCTTCTCAATCACTTAGATTGCAAACATTCCTTCCATTATTTAAAGTAATGTAACAATTGACTTGAAGAATTCTAAACTACTTCTTTAGAACGCTTGTGTGATTTTGATAAAAACAAACACATTTTATTTTAAACAAATCATTTATCAAACTGGTGTAGGCTAAAGGTCATTTCTTGATATTTTATTATTCAATGCACAGGTAAAGACTAAGTTAAACATGCTTGAATAGAAAGTACTTCTATTTCCAATACCCCCAGCCCTGCAATACAAAATAGAGTGTAAAAAAGCATGTGTCACATTAGAGGTCTCTTGGGCCAATGATCAGTTAGCCAGGAATTGAATGTAGGTCTGTTTGACACCTAAGTTTTTTCCACTCTAGGAAAAATCTCCCAACATATCTGTGATTTGCCCCCAAATAAGTTCTTAAAAATGAAATAATAATTTAATATTATAGTTAATATGCCTATAATTATAATTCAAAAAATTTTGTTCATTATAGATATTTTATTTTTGATAGCATGGACAATTATTCATTATATTTTCATTCTTTGGATATTGATGTTATCTTAAGTAAAACTCAACCTAATTCATTCTGTCTGTAATGTCCTTGAACCCAGTGTGTTCTGAAAATGCAAGGCTATTACATTAATCCATCTACCTAAACCTTCTAATGAACTAACAAAGCTTAATTTGAGGGCTGGGCTTAACCCATCAGGAGGAATTAAGAGTTTTATTAGCTGATTAGTTGCCTTTAAAACAATGCATGCTTATATTTTCAACAACATTCTTCAACAGTGAGGAAGAAAAATATTTGTCTTGAACATATGCATGGGGTAGATAGCTGTTTAAGAATTTATACCTTAAATATCTTAGCATCCATGAATATATTTTAAATATAAATTGAAATACGGGTTGTTGTTAAGGAAGAAACACATCTTATATCAAGTGATTATTCTCCTAGTTGAGTTTTTTATTTTTGCATTATTTCTGCATTTCAATATATTTATAGGGATTAGAAAACAGATGTGTTTGACTAGACTTTTAAGAAAGTGGTTTATACTAATAAAAAAAGATATATTGCAAAAATAATAAGCTATGTAGTTCTATCAGATTGGGAAACTGCAAATAGATAAAAGCAAAAAGAGAAGGGGCAAAATTTTACAAACTAGAAAGGTGATAATAGAAAATAACACAGAAAAGATATACTAGAAGCCACACCACAGATGTCAACCAGGATTAAGTTTCAAATGGAAAACGGAAAAATAAAGTATAGAAAAAAAATAGCAGAATTTGTCTGATGCATGTCCCATAACAAATATTGACTATGGAATATTTTAAGAGATGTTGAAAACAAAATTCACCAGAGTATTTATAGAGTATAGCAATAAAATTCTAATCTTTAATCAAAAGACCACACGAAAAGCTATTATCTAATTTCTCATAAAACTTCTTGTTCTAAAATGTTACTGAAAGTATCATATACTGTTTTACAATTTTAAAAGCAATATAGAATTGTACCTTAAGTTCATAAGTTAGCAAACTACTTGAATATTCCAAAAATAAAAAGAATTATTTATGATGAAAGAAACTATACACTCACCATCATGATTAGGATTTCCTAGTGTCCATGGCTCATCAGAGTCAAAATGAGTATCTCCCCCAATTCCTGGTCCAGGGAAATAGGCATGTGCCAAAAATCCTCCCTCTCCATCAAAGGGAGAACTGTCTCCATGGAAACCAGATGCAAAAATGATGGTTATATCCACATCCCGTTTTCCATTTTCTAATTCACTGTAGGGAACTTCTTCAAATGTCAGAGGAGTTACATTCTGCCACACATCAAAGGCACGGCGAATAGCTTTACGTGTTTCAGGATCTCCTACTTTTGGAGTTACGTTCTTTATACTGAAATTTAGAAAGAAGAATAATCAGTATGACTTTATTACATCTAATCTGGTTTATTATAGATTTTGATCTGTTCAGTTGAGTATGCTAGTAGAAAAATAATCTTAATATTAGATAGGAAATAAATTAATTCTTTATGTCTCTATAGATAGATTACACTATGCTGGGGTTATTTAATTCTCAGCAGTGCAGTATTCATTTAACAAGGCTATAAATGAGATCTTCTCTATAGAATGGGCAACAGTGAAGTAATGAGATCGATTAATCATTTTGCCTCTTGGACAACAAAAGGAAGGCGCTTTGTCAAATGATCAAACAGGCACAGCAGCTTTGAACTAAACTAAAAATTTCGATTTCCTTCTGGTTATAATTACTTTTAGTGGTACACCATTGTTTGCAGACATATTATTTCTAAACAATGCTTTTATGTCCTTATCTGTAAAAACCAATTCAGTAGGCATAAAGTTATTTCTTAGAATTTTAAAGAAAAGATTAATTATAATTTCTGAAGCTCTAGTTTTTTCTTACTATATACTTAATTCTTTCTAGTTAAAATAGTAATATAAGCAAATAACTTTTTAATACTAAGATTTAGCAATTATGAACTTAAGGAGGTAATCTGAATGTTTTTCATTTTTTGACTTGATGCTGAAAACAGATGGATAAAATTATAAATATTTTTCTCAATTTAGCACTAATCAGATATTTCTTTTTCACCTCTTTTTCTTTTTTTCCCTAAATAAAACACAAATGAAACAAATATACATAGGCATTCTATGTTGTGGTAGTAGTAGTTTATGCCATTTTAGTGAAAAGATAATGATAAATAAAAATAATAATGAGCAGAACAGTAAACCTGGCCTATTTAAATAATGGGACTCCAATGTGAATTGTTGCAAAATGAACACTCAGGATAGTGAGGTAATATGAGAGAAAATCAACAAGGAGTAGGTTATAGTCTGTGAAAGGAAACCACTGGACACTTTGAAATAGGAAAGAATCCTGGTATTATTGCAGTTTACAAAGATTATTGTTTTTGATAAAAAAATGAATAAAGGGACAAGAATGGGAGCAATAAAAAAAATCAGATGTTCAAGCAAAGTTATATAGAGACATGAACTAGAGTGTTAATCATGGAAATATGAAGAATTTGTATCAGTGGTGACACTGTGTTCTGAGGGTATTGTAATGGAAATTGGTGACAGAGTCAATGTAAAATGAAGGCAATATTTTGTTTTCCAATAAAGGAGAATCTTACAAAAGAGAAAATAAATGAAGTCATATTAGTATACAAATAAAAGAAAAACAGTTCTGGAAAAATAAAGCAATATCATATCAAAAAGAATTACAAATGTTTGAATACCATTTGCATCTGAAAATACATCACAGTGTTTTTCAAAACTGTGTACTGTTTAACTTCCAAAATATGCTTAAACTACATTATTTGTGATACCATTAATAAATAAAACCACATGAGAGTGCTTCGAAGAACTAGAGTTTTGAACCAGGTGCAAACAAAAACTAATATAGAATATTTCATGCCTTTAACAGATGCAGTTCCTCTTTAGTAAAGAGTAAAATAAGGGCACAGAGAAAAATATGGTACAGTAAGAGTAAAATCAGACTGTTATTCTTAGTAATTCTAATACTTGATGCACAAGATTATTAATAATATCTTTGAAAAACTAAAGATGATACTATAAAAGGAATTAAGTGGTGGTCATGTTAAAAAATAGAAGTAATTTAATTTTAAGAAGTTTTGACTTTTTATTTTCTTTTTGTAAATAGCATAGTTATAAAGAACAAACTCATTTTAATGGGTAATTAGTTTTATTTTTGAACTTCAAATTCATTTAAACTTTCATTTTAGTAAATTTTGGAATTTTGAAACAATAAATGTCTTTAATGACTACACCTCACAAACCCCACATAATACAATCAACGAAGTGGAATCATTACAACCTCTTCACATCAGAACAACTGGGATTTTTGGCAAGTTATGTCAATTGACTAACAAGGTAATTTTGTAAAATCAATATTCTCTCATTTTAACCTCACTGAATCAATATCAATTCATTTAATAACAATTCTACATGTTATTAGTAGAATATTCACCTTCCCTAATTTTCATAATGTCATAAATCTTCCTCAATGTTAGAGTACTCCCTATTATATTCAAAGAACAAAAATTAAAATATTTTGATATCTGGAATTGTGTAATATAAGAGAAGAGAAGCTAGTACTCCATTTTATAACTCTTAATGGAAGTACATAAATTTTTCAATGATAAAAGAGATGTTGAGTTTACAACACTATTTCTTGGGTAATTTTAAAGAGTGTGACAGCGTTGACATTTGGTGAAACAGTAAATTTTAAGGAGAAGCAACTTTTACTAACAAAATTGTCCTGGCGAATGTGTGTGTGTTTTCTTTCTTAGTGGTGCTATAGGAATGATTTTGCCTCATTAGTTCCACAAAAAGACTAATGTGAAATATAAAAAAATCAAACATTTATTCATTTGAGAAGAAGTTATAGGAAATGTGAAATAAGACCACTTCAAAAGGATTTAAAACTTTCAAATCAAGTAAATTCCAATTTCTTACTTAAGGGACATATTAATTGTTACACAATACTAGTACTACTGTGTAAATTTGGGATCCTCAGTTTTAAGAAAACGGGATTCATATCAACTTATTTTTCAACATTTTTTCATTTTAATAATTATTTCTCCTTAAAATTTTGATCAAGTAGTACGTGTTTTCGAAAGTTAAGGTATTGTTTTATCTCTTATTTTGAAATTAAGAAAAAAGAACTGAGTACTTTGGCATCTAGCTAAAATGAGCTTAGATTTTATAGAAAAAGTCTATTTTATTCAATATTCATCAAATTTGGGAAATAATGATATTTGATGCTATGTTTCTCATTATACACTTACTAATATCTTAAGAAAAGTGTAGCCTAAGTCTGCTAAGAATTCATTACTTTATTCAACAGCTATTTATTGAGGGTCTATTATATAGCAGGTACTCTAGAGGTTTTGGACACATAATATAGGTATATTCTCTGATGCAATGAAATTTCTGCATGGTCTAATACCTTGCTGACACCAACAAAATACTATTTTACAAAATTATTCACCTATATTCCTGTTTCCTGTACTAGACTGTATTCTCCTTAAAGCAGGGGCTTTACCTAAATCATCTGTCTGTTGCCAATGCTGCCACATGATGCTACTCAATAATCTTTGAATTGATAGCACCTAATGATTCCAGAAGCAAACTGCCAAGGGGAAATTGATCACAAAGTTTCAAGTAAAGAGATGAATAGCCACCAGTACTTATTATTAGTATCAACAAGTAAAACTATGCATCAGCAAAATTCTACTCATTTCTAAAAATATTTAAATGATTCTCTGGTACTACCTTGCAAATTCCCATTTCTAGGCATGAAGCCTGGAGGTGGAAGACCAAAGAGCCTAGACATCCCCTTTAAATGGATTCATTAAGGGAGTTCCTTCCATCCTGCATTTGAAGAATGGGAAGAGATCTAAAATTAGATAATCTAACTTCCAAATCTTTCAATAAATGGTCAGTATTTGAGAATAACTGGAAATTTCTTTCTGAAACATTCTTTCCATCAGATTGAAAAATCATGGCTCTAATCCAAGCTCTTCTATATGCATCCTGCTCTCAAGTCCCTTAGCAATTTGATATCTTTTTTAGAGTTGTACATTAATTTATTAAGCAGTAACTCGAAACATAGTTGTTTGAAGAGAAAAGGATACATCAGACAAGAATTTGGGAAATAAAGAAAAAAAAATTAGCATCATCACTGCTTTGGACACTTTGCTTTCTACCAGACTAATCTGCTTATTTTGAACCATACTATACTGTTGATTCATAATGAACTTACAATAAAATAAAGCCTGGTTTCTAGCTCCTTCAAACAATCCTGTTTGTTATCCTTTTCAAGAGAGAGAGAGAGAGAGAGAGAGAGAGAGAGAGATAGAGTGTGTGTGTGTGTGTGTGTCAGATTTTGTATTTATTTCTCTAAGTGTTAACAAGAACAGTAGTCACAGATGCTTAGACTATATACAGGCAACTTGTTGACATCTTACATACATTAACGTAAAATGTAATAATGTCCTTAGCTCTCACTTCAAACTTTCTACAATCTTATTAAAATTAAATTATTCTCAACAATTTATGGCAAATTAAAAGGACTAAAAAAGATAGTTGTCCTTTATTAAACACTATATTTCAAGCAGTGTGCTCAATTTATTTTTTCCTGTTATTTTACTTAAAGTTCTCCCCCAAGCTTTATGAAGCAGGTATTGTTAGATACTCACTCTGCAAATGGGAAAACTGAGACCTAGAAGATTAAATAACTTAGTCCTAGTTTTAGGAGTAGCAAAAATCAGAGCCAGGATTCAGACACAGATCCTTCATTAACCCAAAATAGGACTTTTCGCCACATATATGCCTCAATAACCTGCAAGTTTACAGGCAAAGACACCTAATTATTTGACTATTTAAAACTGGCTGAGACAATTGTCAGTGTAGAGACACAGTATAAGTGAAATTATGATAAGTTCTGAACAAGACTGAAAGAGTTCTGACTCTTAACAGTTTCTTTTTCTTTCTTTGGTCTTTTTTTTTTAATAAACAGTGTATCAATTCCTAAAGATACAAAGAATGCTGTCAAAATTTGTGCAATCAGGTCATAAAAATGAAATGAAAACAATAAATATCAATATAAAGAGGTGTACAGGCTTTATAGTTCTAAAAGTGATTATAAACTTTAATACTAAATTAGTGTTGTTTTTTTCATATGGTACAAGGAAAGAATTAAATTTGTTTTCCATACGGAGAGTCAATTGTCACAGTAAAACACCCACCTTTTCCTGCTGATCTAAAAGGCTTGCTAAGCAGTAATCATTTTTTTTTATATATGCATATAGATCTAGTTCTTGATTTCTTATCTGTGCTACTGGAGTTTCC